GCACCCCCCTTCATTTTTTTAAGGAAAAAAAAAGGAAAAATATATTCAAATTGAAGTGCGAGAGTGTAATTTCCGGCCATCTAGAGATGCCCTAATCATAAATTTTCTTACCTCAGCCCCAACCATGGGTGGTTCCTCGGTCTGTGTAAGTCCCTCCCTCGTTCACCTCTCTTTCGAATTCCTGGATCTGTCACTGTTGATGTATTATATAATTATTTTTTCGCTTATTTATAATGCGCCTATTGCAATTTTCACTTTATCCTCTCAAACAGTCCTAAGAACGTTCAGAGTGCGCTACTTCACAGGGGGATTCGCCCCTTGACCCCGCCGGGGGCATACGTAATTCGCATAACGGCTCCCCCCCTTTCAAATTCCTGTCTACGTCCCTGGGGGTGTGTCTGCCAGACTGTAAGTTAACGTGATGAAAGTAACTGTGAAATGTTTGGCATTGTGGTGGGCAAAGTGATAGAAAACCTCTAGTCGTTTACGGCCCGACACTGATCACCTGTAAAAAGTAGTATTAAAACTGAGCACTGCATGAAGGTTTTTGGAAGCACACTTGAAACATCAAAGGTAGTTTTCGTCCCTCTGTGTTAAATCGAAAATTTACTTTGGCCCTCCAATTGATTTTTATGCCCTCTCCCTCCCCCATAACTACATCCATGAATTTGCAAAATGTAGGCCTACCAAACAATACTATATAATCTTTTATTATTTTTAGTAGTCAATATTACAACAGTTTAACAATGAGATTCTATACAGGATTGAAGGTTTATGAATGCTCAATATTCAGTACGAGTATATTTCCAGTACAAATAAAAATTGTAATGCAACTGGGTTATAGTTTACAGGAGTTTGTGCTTCAAACAGGTTATTCCATTCGTAGAAGCCTTTTGATAAAGAAAGTGTCCCTTTTTAGGAAAACTCACTCGGACTATATGAAATTAATTATAAGCTTGAATTGTTAATCTTAATGTAAGGAATACTACAGTAACTTCACGTTTAATTTTAATTACAAGTTGATTATAAAATTCAAATTAAATGTCGTAAGTATATAGTTTGCCTATTTGCCTAATTTGCTTTAGAAAAATCTAAAAACTTTTTTATTACAGGAATGTTAAACTTGCCTTATTTGCTCACTTTGTAGTGCTATATTGCTATGTATATTTGTTATGTACAATTATTAGTAGTGATTAAAGACCAAAGTTTGTGATGATCTTACCATCAATAATCCACAGTTGAATATATCGTAGCACCATTCTTTTAGGTCTCTTAACATTCTTTTACTAGTCACACTACAAAAGCAACACACGTGAGAATTCTTTGTTAGTACAGTAAGTGGAAGGAGCAGAGTAATATTCCAGTATTTAGGTAAGTAGAACGTACCAGTTCAGTGAGTACGGTACGGCTGATACATAGGTGTGTTCACTAAATATAACGGAATAATATATATATAAAGTGACCATGTTACCGGTACTAAAATAAGTCAATACATGACAAAAAATAAGGAATGTCTACATCTTTCACATATTTAACAAGTACTGTACAATCCAATTTTGACTATCTTGCTGGTATCTTACAAAAAAAGAAAATTAATGAAAAAGAAAATATGATACTCCTTGTCCCCAAAAAATTGATCTAGATTATCTAGTGAGTTAACCTGATAAAAGTTACTGTAAAATGTTCGGCATTGTCCCAGGTATCATAAATGGCCGCTGCCAGATACTCCTGTCACCCAAAAATTGATCTAGATTATCTAGTGAGTTAAACTGATGAAAGTTACTGTAAAATGTTTGGCATTGTCCCAGTATCATAAATGGCCGCTGCCAGACATTTTTGATTGTAGGATCGCCTTAATACCCCTCAATAGAGCAAGATTATCTCATAAGTTACTGTAACCCTCTAATACCCCAATACATACAGTATAGTCATTTTTCCAATATAGGGTGTAACTTTGAATTTTGAGTAAGTTAATTGATTTATTTTTCTTACGCTGAAAGTACAATCATATGTTCAGTGAACTAAAAAAATGTCTTCAAGAATGTTAAGGCACCTAAAAGAATGGTGCTACGATATATTCAACTGTGCACGAGTGTGGATGGTAAATCATCAGAAACTTTAGTCTTTAATCAAATTAGTAATTTGATACTAATTAAATACTAATAATTGTACATAACAAATACTTATATAGCACTAATTCAAAATTTATCTATTAAGCACTATCAAGTGAGCAAATAAGGCAAGTTTAACATTCCTGTAATAAAACAGTTTTTAGATTTTTCTAAACCAAATTAAGCAAATAGGCAAACTATATACTTACGACATTTAATTTGAATTTTATATAATTCAACTTGTAATTAAAATTAAACGTGAAGTTACTGTAGTATTCCTTACAATAAGATTAACAATTCAAGATAATTAATTTCATATAGCCCGAGTGAGTTTTAACTTAGGCAACTCTTCCTAAAAAGGTACACTTTCTTCATCAAAAGGCTTATACAGATGGAATAACCTGTTTGAAGCGTAAACTCCTAAATCCAGAACCATTACGATTTTTAATTGTAGGGAAATCTGCTCTACTGAATATTGGGCATTTATAAATTTTAAATCCTGTATAGAATCTCATTGTTAAACTGTTGTAATATTGACTACTAAAAATAATAAAAGATATATAGTATTACTATATAGTATTAGTACTTGAAGTTTTCCATCCAGTCTGAAGCTAATTTCATGGCTCTCCACCCACCCTTATTAACCCACACTTCCATCCTTACAGTATAACAGACTCTTATTTAGAGTAGGGGTGGGCATAAATATCAATCCGAAGGCCAAAGTGAATTTTCGATTTAACACAGAGGGCCGAAACCTAACTTTGATGTTTCAAGTGTGCTTCCAAAAACCTTCATGCAGTGCTTTTATGTCTAGGGGTTTTCTATCACTTTGCCCACCACAGTGCCGAACAAGTCACAGTTACTTTCATCACGTTAACTTACTAGATAATACTAGATAATCTTGGGGATTATCTTGGGGGGAAAATTTTGGGGTACCGGTTTTTTGCGTCTGGCAGCCACCCCCACTATTGGAAATGTCTGAAATTTACCATTCATGGGTCTATTGGGTTAATTCACAAGTTGATCTAGGTCAATTTTTGGGGCCCTTTTTATGCCCCTCATGACCACACCCACCAGAATGGGACCGGCAGATTCCCCCTCCTACATAAACAGGCACATAGAACATTACTATATACACAAAAATTGGTTATAACTTTACAGCTATGCTGACACCCCTGGGCTCCTGGTCTATTTTCTAGACAATAATATTGTAATATTGAAATATTATACATTCTGGCGCTGGTAGCTAAGTTACATAAGCGGTGAGCCAATTTTCGTTGTACTACATTACCTGTTAAGCGTTCCACACTCCTGACGGCGTTGGGTGGGGGGTGGGGGGGGGGGGGGGGGGGGGGGGGGGTGGTTCAAGGTCCCCGACATAAGAAAGTGGGATGGTCGTTGTCAAAATCCCTTGAAACGTTCCAGAAAGGTGAAGCCCCCGAAAATTTACAATTTAGGTGTTTCAGACTTATTTGATCGATTTGGGAGTCTACTAATAATGTAGAAAATACATATACATTTTTCTCCCCGACGTGGATGTAACATATAGTTAATGTAGGTCTAAATACCATAAAAAGAACAAGTGTCAAAGCTAAAAAAGTGTTAAAACTTTGAAATAGTAGGCTCCAGTTAAACAGGAGAAAAGTTAAAAAAAAAAAAAAAAATAAAATAAAATAATAATAATAATACACATCACATGAATTGCAAAAAAAAAGTATTTTACAGGCCTATACCTGTCTCTTATACACATCTAGATGTGTATAAGAGACAGATATCATTCTGGCATTTATGAACTTGGCCTAAACCTTGTAATGTAATTGATATTAAATAATAATAATAATAATAACAATAATATTAATAACGATTAATAATAATACTCAATGAGTGTCCTACCAAATTTAATTGGTGTCCCATATATTCTATTTGGAGCCGGAGCCGCCCAAAATTTATTCGCTTGTTGGTGGCGCTGTCTAGAACGAGCAAATAGGATAGTTAGGGGACTTTTGTAAGTGGTGAAAGCAGTGGGTGTAGAAGGCGGCAAAAAGTATTATGCCTAGGCCTAAATAGCGGAAGAATGAGTGGGCCACTAGCTACGTTTAGCCTGGTAAGTGTAGCCTAAATAGGTCAATCCTTATGGCCAGGCCTAAGGAGACCTAGACTAGTCCTAAACTTAGATGGCCAACTACGGAAGAGGTTAAAGCTTAGCCTAGCTAGGCCCGGCCGGGCTCAAATCATTTCGGCCGCCGCTCGTTTCGGCCGCCAGATTTTGAACAATAGGAAGTATGGCGCGCCAACACAGTTCCGTTGGTAGTGTGGTTGTTGCAGGATGCGGAAGCTTAATAAGCGTAGGCAAATAATAATCTCTCCGTTTTTTATTTAACTTTCTGTCTGTAAGTATAGGCCTACATATTTGTACGTAATGCATGCTTAGGCCTAGGACCTAGGTCTACTACGCATTTTTCATTAGGTGTATTTATTTATTTTTGTGGTTAATGAAATATAATAATGCCTAATGATAACCTAAATATTGTGCTTAGGCCTAAATTGATTGTTATACTTGTAGTATTTTTCAGTAGCACGAATGTCTAGTTGTAGTTGATTACCTATATAGTAATAACTGATGATAGTCGTAATGAGTTGTATGTCACTATACTTAATGTAATTTTGTACTTTTTTGGAATGTTATAAACATATGTTGGCTAATATAATAAATAAAATATGTTGGCTAATTTTATAAACATATGTTCGTTGTTATAAATTATTGTAACAATTATATGAGTGCAGAAACTGATTTATCATGATAATAATTTTAATTTGTTCTTAAGACGATGAGGAAAATAAATTCTGTCTGAAACTAGTTTAATTAATGGTTAATATATATGTTTGTTGTTATAATTTATATAATTATATACGTTTTTGTAAATATTAAACACTACAAGTCTCGCAAAAAATACTATAAAGCAAAATTTAAACTGGTATAGTTTTCATTTATTGAAACTTATATAATAAAGCATATATACAAAAATAAGCAAATTTGTAAATATTTCATTTAACACATGATAATGTTTAGTTAATTATGTAGATACATTAAGTGTATGAGTATACAAGTTATATATACATTATGTACATAGACCTAAGTCAAGTAAACATATTCCAGTATTTATTAATGTTTATTATACATTTTTATTATATTCATTACATTCATTATTCATGTTAATAATAGTTCCACGTAATCAATTATTACTGCTTAATCGCGGGTTTGCGGCGAGATAATTTTGCTGCCAACATTCAGGAGTGATTGGGCACTTCGCTGGCCGCCACGTAACTCTCGCCACATCCTCAACAACCTCTCTGTACTCCTCTTCGAGCCATTGGTCTGTGATTTGGTTACATCCTCGCGGTGTACCAACTCTGCTGTTATGGACACTGTCACTGCCTCTTCGTACATTAACATACACATGACATAGAATTGGAGGTTGGCTGAAAGAGATAAGGAATTGTGTATGTATAATAATATTTTAATCATTTCATTTATATATTCAAAGTCCAATCTTATTAGACAATGATTTATGGGTGTTGTCTTTAACTTAATGCACTAGTCACACTCATTTGAATTATAGTACTCTTAGAGTATTGCGTTTGCACAATGTCTTCAAAACTGCAGGTATATGCTCGTGTGGTAGTAGCGGCAGTGCTATACACCTCTTGATAACCGTCTGGGTCCCAGCATCACACCTGTAGTCTCTCTGCAGCTCCAACTCTTGTACTTTCTTGTACACCCACTGGAAAAAAATAAAAGAAACGCAAATGTATATATATATATATATATATATATATAAAATCAAAGAAGCTGCATAGGCAGAGTGATAGGATATAAAATCAAAAGCAACACGGTTTTAATCTGCCTCAGTAGAAATTTATTTGATACGACATGTTTCGGGCATAGCCCATCATCAGGTATGAAAAGCTGTGACAAGAATAGATAAATAAGTAGCAGTACATTAACAAAAGTATAACGTGATCATCCAATCAAAAAACAGATAATATATATATATATATGCACAGATTTGATACTGCAGAGATTCTGACTATTTAATCAAAACATGTTGCTAATTAGTCTTAATGGTGTTTACATACAAATATATTTTTGGATCATGTATGTTGATGATGGACAGATTCAAATACCACCAGATACACTCTATTACCTTCTATTGTACAGTAGGGGGCTTAAATTAATCGCTTGCGGGATTTGCCACATCCAACGCTAACTAAGGCGATGGCTGTTGATTTAGAGGTGCACATTTATGTTGAAGACTGTCACCAAGTCGTGTTGTTGCACTTTCTGTGTGACATACTTTATATTCCGGTGTATAAACCGCCCCCCAAATTAGGACACAAAATATCACAATTTTTTGTGTCACCTGTGTATAAGCCGCATCTGTTTTTAAGCTCCAAACCGTTCCCATAATGTTAAGTTTTTAATTATTTTGAAACATTGACATTATTTATAAATGTTCACATATTTCATTTTTTTCGGCCGATTATCAAACAACAAACAACTGGAAATGCGTGTAACTGCTGGCTATCGCCATGTTACCAACGTATTCTTACTCTAGGCAGCCCTAGGGAAATCCCCATTTTTTGCTAGACGGTTGTGCTACGTTAAATTTTCAACATCAGTTTAGTTTGAGTTTAATAAAATTAAACACTTATTGAGTATATTTATCTATTTTAAACAATCATTCTATTATTATGTTGACTAATAACAGTCGGTATTAGGCTAAAAATAATGGTAATTCTAGGCCTAAGTCATTACTACTCACAGCCCACTGTGCGAAGCATGCACCACCACGCACCACGTTTTATAAACAAAGTTCACGCATGCCCAGATGACGTATTCCTTTCTACAGTTAAATTCCAGTAAAATAATTATTACAACTTCAAGAAAACTTGTGTTTTCATAGCATAAATTAATTTCACAAGTTTTTATTCTAATATTATAGCGGTATCAATATTCTCTCTATAACGGTACAAGCCACCGGGAGATGTCGAGCTGCAAGTTTCAACATGTGTGTTTTGTTGCGACATCGAAAAATGAAGCTGCTTACGTGACCTCCAGGACTGAACTCCTGAAAACTAGCTTGTTATTTTTTGAGCGCAGCGCTTTTGAACAGAAACAGCGTGTTCCAAAATTGATTATAAGTGAACGTAATTATTTAGGCAACCTAAACTATTGCTTGAATGTCGTAGAAAATGTAGTAGGAATCCTAGTACAGCACTGTAGTGAGTATAATTACAAATACTAAGGCTACAAACCGGTCCTAGGCTAGGCTAATTAATTGAGCTAGCATAGGCCTAACCTAGACGGAAGGCGCCTGATTTTCACCGCGGCTCGCGATCTGACATTTTGGGAGTAGGTTAATGACCGCTGTATAGGCCGCACCGCAAATTCGGGGGGAAAACCGCGTATAAAATTTGCGGCTTATACACCGGAATATACGGTATTTATTGGACAAATTTAAATTGCTGAATTGGTAATAATGTACTTTACATTCCATACTGTTTTTCAGTTAACAAAATCAGTATGTATGTAGTATATATGCTGTTAAAAAAAGTATGCGTTTGAAAACATAAAAAATTGTACATGGATTTCATTATCTTACAGAATTCTGCTTTCCATATTACAATAAATAGTGACACACAGAGTGAAGAGTTTGGAAAAATTGATCATGGTCTTTAAAATCAGAAAAACAGTGTGTCAGGTTTAATTGTACGGAGGTCTTTCAGAAAGTTTCAAACAGTAAGTCAAGCTGGATTCACAGTAGCCTGCTTCTTTGATGTGATGGAGGTAATACTACTTTTAATAAACAACTTTTATGCTATAAAAGGGTAGCTCACAAATAGTGTCTATTCTCATAAACACAACAAACTGAAAGTTTAATAGGAATATTCTAGACCTATTTTTAAAGACTCAAGGAACATATTTAGATGTAGGCCTTCGACCAGGCCGCCCGGGCATCCTACTTTTACTATTCCATAGCCTAGCCTAGTTATGAAATCATCGCACGATTTTACCTGTCTGCACGCACCGACTAAAAAGGATGTCAGTGACTGTATTCTCTCTCAAATGCTGAAATGTTTATTTCTTTGACAAACGTCTATCAAAATAACATTACAAACAAGTTCTTTCTAACACAGTAGTTATTCAGTGTAGTGTACTGCTGATGTGTAGTTAATCAAACGCATACTGCACAGCTAAATGTATATACGCACACGTATACCTATCACTATAGCAACCGATGACTGCTACAACAGTTGGTTATAAAAAACTAAAATTAAAAGACGGCGATTGACTTATAAAACAATTTATAGAGCATGCATCGTACACTAAATGGAAAATTATCATACTTAGGTTATATTTAATGCATTCAAAAATTTCCTTCTGGCCTTGCAGGCCCTAGGAATTTTCAAGCATTAAATCTAACCTTTCTATAATAATTTTCCTATTGTGTACTATGCGGAGCTCTAATTACTTATTATTGTTAATATTGTATTATTATCATTGTAATTGGTTCGGGAGGCACTATACATATCGCAAATTGTTAATTATTATTTTATTAATTTTCATAGTAACCTATCATTTTGACTTCAGGGCTTTCAGCTTGATAATCACCTGTTTCTTGGTTCTCATAATGCCCTTTTGTTTTACAGTGATCTTGGGGTGATACAGTAGGCAGTACTGTAGACACATGCTCCCGCTGGGAGCATATTTTTGCAATCTGTAAATGAATCTTTAGATTAAATAAAGTGAAACCAGTTATGATCGTAATATACATATATGGTGAATTGTAAGATTTTCTCATCAATATTCTTGAAAATGATCAAATAGATTGAGGTGTTGGATCTCATATTATGTCTATTTGTCATTCAGAGTTATTATCTTTTTGTTTTATATGACATTTTGTGTACCTCATGTCATATTTCTCATTGACAAGTTGAGGTTGTGCTCTTAACATGTGTTGTGCTATTCCATATTCAGTAGCCTTGTAACTGTCATATGAATTGGGTGAGATTTTCTCATCAATATTCTTGAAAATGGTCAAAGAGATTGAGGTTTTGGATCTCATATTATGTCTATTTGTTTTATTTGACATTTTGTGTACCCCAAATAATATTTCTCATTGACGAGTTGAAGTTGTGCTCTTATCATGTGTTGTACTATTCTACATTCAGTAGCATGGATGTATGAGAATTTCTTATCAATATTCTTAAAAATGATCAAATACATTAGGTGTTGAATCTCATAATGTCTGTTTTTTTTTTTTTAGGAGTTATTATCTTTTTGTTTTATTTGACATTTCGTGTACCTCACTTATTTCTCATTGGGGTAATTCCATGTCAAATCAACCCAAAAAAATGTCAATCTCTTCGATTTTGTTCAAAATTTTGAATGTTGTTGGAACCTACGAGAAACGATCAGAAATTAAATTTTTTTCTCTAGGCCTCCTAATTAGCGAGATACGTGCTAACAAACTTTGGATTAATTAGCGATACCTTGCGTTTTTAACCGACCATATCTCGGAAAGTTTAGCACCTACAGAGCTGGTTTTGCTGTCATTTTAAAGCTATTGAGTAGCTCTATAACTTTATATAACTAAAAATATATATATAAATATAAATTTTATGTTAGAGATGCACAATGATGTAAAGAAGCTTCCCTATAAGTTTGGTGATGGGCACTCCAAGAGTTTATGAACAGTGAGCAATTAATGTATGACATGTCAATTCGAAATTGCATTTTCTGTATAACAACACAGTACTATACCTATATAGGAAAACCAACAGTACACCAAACTGCTTAGTTTTATATGTAGGTATTATAAAGTTAAACTTACATCACTTGAATTTCATACTTTGGGACAAACAACATGTTCATATGTGGTCAGGAGTGTGGTGAGATGAGCATACTGATCATCGCTGCTCATATTCTTCAGATGCTTTGGATAAAGCACCATAAACGCATCCATTATGTTGATGTCCGGAAAAGTAGATGCCAGCTGTGCAACAATTGCATCCACAAACGCAATAGTTGATTCCGTAAATTGCTAGAGATGGCAACAAATCCTTAAGATCATGCGTCTTGTAGAGGACATACTCAGATGGTTCGGCTGGTACGATTGCCTCTTTCTCTTTAAAACATGGCCCCTGGTATGATCAATAAAGCTTGTATCGCTAGGATGGCAGCATCGATTTGGGGCTTGATGAGCCTGTAAGTGATGTTGCTTTTCTGCATTGACAGAAAAAGTAACCCCAGAATGAAAATCCTGCTGCTTTTCACCACAAATTCATCTCTGACAGATGGCCAGATGTATTGGTTTGCTCTCTTTTTCTCCATGTTGATGTATCTCTACCTCTTGTCGTTGAAGATTACAGCTACAAAGTCACTGTAATCTTAAAAAGCAATGAAAAAGAGGAAACCTGTTGAATCAATCATACAATTACAAGTGCTTTGTAGGGCATCCATCATAAAGTGGTAATTACACATGCACACATGTTTAGTCTTTTGAAACATTATGAGACTGTTTATAAACACCTATTGTACCTTTATACTTAGTTGTGCTGGCTAGTTGTCATCTGCAAGCATGTCCCTTTCATTGTTAGTACCTGTGCCAAAAAATAATATTGAAAATAAAGTGCATTTCATATATAAACTAAACTTTTTGTCACATGCAAATATTTAATTAAGCTGTGTAAGAATAGTAATATACTTCTACCAGATTTTTGTACCGAGCCACCTCCTACTTTAATGAGTTCCTGATTCATGCAAGACAAAGGGTATTGCTAAACCCCGCAAACCTCCAAAAAAACACTGCAAACCCCATCCAAACCTTGTGATAGAGATTGAATCATGTAGTGCAGTGCTCAAAAAATCTAGTTTAGATCTAGATAAATTAGGAATTTTTACCTGATTAGAATTTATAAAAGGTTTACATCCTCAAATGAGAATTAGCTTTGGATTCTACATGCTAGGTATGTTACACATAAATGCAAATTGGTTGAATGTCTACCATTTTGATGGCACAAATTCTACCAAATTTTACAACATGAAAAACTTTTTCAGAATCAAATTTGGTTGCTTGGTTGATTTTTTATGATTTTTTCTTTAGCATCTGCAGGAATCTCTGGATAACGTTTTTCAAGAAACATATGACATTTGCCTTGATTCGCAGCCCAAATTTAGGCCGTGGACCATAGTTTGCGGAACGTCGGTTTATACAACATGTTGTTTTCCTAACTAGGATAGTATCTTTCTCATTTCTGTAATGATGACGAGGAGTAAGATGCGGTGTGGGGACGAGAAGGCAAATGTTTTCGGCTGTGCTCATCGGAACAATGAACGAACGACCAAATGAGGACAATGGTAGGTCCAAAAGAGCGGAGTGGCCAAGGCCCAATATCCCCTCACAAAATAATTACAAAACGAATTCGTCGCTCCACATGTTTGTTGACGTTTTTTAGCTTGTAGGCCTAGGACATGAACAAATTTTTTTGAAAGTTCACGTCTAATACGATCTATTCTTTGCAGTGATTGACCTGGAGGTCACATTTCACCTAAAAAATCACTTTTTTTGTGTTGCAGCTAAAAGGTGCACAGCCAAAATCGGTTATTTGCCGTTCAAACACGCTATCCATTGCGTGTTTTTAATCAATTTTTTTAATCGTTTTTTTCAAACTGTTCCTGTTTCTACTGCGAGAATAAAAGCGATTTTTCGAAAAGTGATTTTTAATCGATTATTTCTTTCCAGTAGAAACAGGCCCTTAGGTCTCAAATCAAAGCAATAAAAGGTTAAATCCATATGACGCAGATTACCTGCAAATATTGTCTTGGAAGAATTTGCTTTGAAACAAAAAAACTGTAACTGCGCCACGCCTGCCCTTCATATGCCTTCCAATGTTTATGTGAATTGTCTATAGGAAGGGCAGTTATAATCTACAAGGTAAAAACATACAAATTCTGTTTCTGATTGATCCATAACCTAATTGGTTGACCAATGGAGCTCATATCTGCCACCCTAAACATTCTTAGGCCTCACATCAAAGAAATAAAAGCCCTTTCCTCATTAAATCCATACGACGCAAATTACCTGCATTTTGAATGAGCTTTCGAGCGTTGTTTTGTTTCGTTATTCTTGCTGTAGGATTGTTTACAAAGTGGTGGAAATATTATGTAATTAGAATTTAGAAAAGGTTTACATCCTCAAATGAGAATCAGCTTTGGATTCTTCATGCTTCCTTTCTTGATAGCCAATTGGTAATTTGTTTTTTTGCAAGCATTTAAAAACAAATTATTAATTTTGACTTCTTTGTTTGTTTACTATATCAGCATTTGCTCTCACATCTAGATGTGTATAAGAGACAGTTATACAACATGTTGTTTTTAGTGTTCTGTCTGTGGGATAAACCTCGACACTGTGTGTCACATGGCAAAGACAGCATTGGCAAAGCAGAAATTTGATGATGTAGTCAGTCTAATGCTAGACTCTGTTTCTGTTGCACTTGCAAAACTGTGGAACTCTGCACACATTGCCACGGCTCTTCTCACACAACTCATTTAATTTTTTTTCTGCCACCCTAAACATTCTTAGGTCTCAAATCAAAGAAATAAAAGCCCTTTCCTCATTAAATCCATATGACGCAAATTACCTGCATTTTGAATGAGCTTTCGAGCGTTGTTTTGTTTCGTTATTCTTGCTGTAGGATTGTTTACAAAGTGGTGGAAATATTACATAATTAGAATTTAGAAAATGTTTACATCTTCAAATGAGAATTAGCTTTGGATTCTACATG